TTCTACACAGCAAGAGAAACTATAAAAAGAGTAAACAGACAACCTACAGAATGAGAGAAAATATTTGTAAACTGTGCATCCAACAAAGGTCTAATACTTACTATCTATAAGGAACATAAATCAAAAAGCAAAAAACAACCTCTATAAAAAGTAGGCAAAGGAAATGAATTTCTCAAAAGACATACAAATCACCAACAAACATATGAAAGAATGCTCATAATCACTAATTATCATAGAAATGGAAATCAAAACCAAAATGAGATACTATCTAACACCAGTTAGAATGGCTTTCATTAAAAAGTCAAAAAATACCAGAAATTGGTGACGCTGCAGAAAAAAGGGGATACTTACACACGGTAGGTGGGTATGTAAATTAGTCCAGCCACTGTGGAGTGCAGTCTGGAAATTTCTCAAAGAACTAAGAGTTGAACTACCATTCGACCCAGCCATCCTATTACTGGGTATACACCAAAAAGAAAATAAATCATTCTACCAAAAGGACACATGCACCTGTAAATTCATTGCAGTGCTATTCACAGTAGCAAAATCATGGAATCCACCCAGGTGCCCATCGAATGGTGGACTGTCTAAAGAAAATGTGATACACACACACACACACCCCCCATGAAATACAATGCAGCCATAAAAAAGAACGAAAGTATGTCCTTTGCAGCAACACGGATACAGCTGGAGGCCATTATCCTAAGTGAATTAATGCAGGGACAGAAAAGTAAACACAACAGTTCTCACTTATAAGTGGGAGCTAAACACTGGTTATATACACGGACATAAAGAGGGGAACAATATACAGTGAGGACTAATAGTAGAGCAGGGAGAGAGGGAGGAGGACAAAGACTAAAAACTACCTACTGGGTACTATGCTCAGTACCTGGGTGATGGTTTCAATCAGACCCCAAACCACAGCAACCTGCAATATACCTTTGTAACAAGCCTGCACAAGTACCTCCCAATTCTAAAATAAGTTGAAAAATAAAACAAAAAGAATATGTGGAAATTCAAATGAAAACAACTACCATGTTATATGTGATAATCTACATACAGACCATTAAGATATATTAATATTTTAAATGAATTTACTGATAAAAAATTTTTTTCTGTACTATTTACTGTGTATTTTTCAAAAGAAGTTTTTCTTAAACTACATAATTCTCTCTGTTGTGTTCTTCTAATTAAGATATGGACTGTTGGGCTGGGCACAGTGGCTCACACCTGTAATTTCAGCACTTTGGGAGGCCGAGGCAGGCAGATCACGAGGTCAAGAGATCGAGACCATCCTGGCCAACATGTTGAAATCCTGCCTCTACTAAAAATACAAAAATTAGCTGGGTATGTTGGTGCGTGCCTGTAGTCTCAGCTACTTGGGAAGCTGAGGCAGGATAATCACTTGAACCTGGGAGGCAGAGATTGCAGCGAGCCAAGATCTTGAGATCCAGCCTGGAGACAAAGCGAGACTCATCTTTTAAAAAAAAAAAAAAAAAAAAAAAAATGGACTGTTGCTTAGGGTTCTGTGGTGTGAAATTAGACCAGCAGTTTTCTAATATCCATAAAATAATTTTAAAATGTTTCTCCTCTGAAAGTCACATAATTCAGTCACAGAGAGTTTATTTCTGTGTTTCCTTTGTTTATTTTGTTTTGTTTTTAGCTGCTTGGTAAGCCAATTTTCTACTTAGAATCTACTGTTAAAACTCTCATTTGGTTCAGTATGTGGGCTTTATCCTTTTCATGGTCTGTTATGTAAAAAAAGATGGCTCAGAAACATTTTTTTAAGTTTGCGTATAGCAGTGTTTCTCAACTTGGATGCACATGAGAATCGCCTAGGGAACCCATAAAAGATACTGATACTCCCTCCCCTCCAGAGATTCTGATGTAACTGGTCTGGGTGGGCCTCTTTTAAAAGCCCCATAGGTGATTTTAATGTGTTGTCAAAGCTAGGAACTACTGCTCTAGGATCCTGCCATTGTCGAAATAAAAGCTATTATCTTTTCTGATTGAACCTAGATGATAAATGTTTTTTAAAAATTCTATAGTTCAATAGATCCAATGATTAAATTTCTTCTCTACAAGGCTGCTAATTTTTTAGTTTGAATTTTAGGGTTTAAGAGCATATTCTATCTTTATTCTGATGATTAGTCCAAGAAGTCCCTTGGCTGCTACTGAAAAAAAAAAAAATTAAAGGAATATGCCGGAATACTACTTTAATAAACTGGTACTTTCGGTTCCTGATATTCTAAAAAAAATTCTCTACTTCATATTTAAAGATTATGGCTTCACACACACACAAGAAAAACAATTAGTGCCCTAGACATTTCTTCTACAAGATTATACTTTTTGCATAATGAATTTCACATGAAGCTGTAAAAAAGAAATCTTTACAAATTTTACCAGTAGATAGAATAACTGAAAGGGCCAATTCCTAAAACAAAAGCTCTTGACAAAAAATGAATTATATATCTTAATAAGAACAAAAGGGAGGGAATTATACAATCAGTGGTGAATAAAGAATCATGTACAAATTTGCATACAACTTTATGAAAAAATATTCAAATACATAAAATGAATAATTTTCTAGAAACACCAATTATGGAAACAAAAGAAAAAAAAACCTTTAAAAATGGAATCAATAATGAAAAAAATCTACCCTCCTTGAAAGACATCACACCCAGGAAATTTTACAGGTAAGTTTTACCAAACTTTCAAGTATCAATTCCTTTTGGTACTGTTGCAGAGAGGAGAAAAGGAAAAAGCTAGCCAGATTGTTCCACAGAGCTAGTAAAACTTTGATATCAACTCTAGAAAGGTTAGATAAGAAAGGATAATAAAAAAAAGTAAAACTGTGTGCCAAGCTCATATTGAAGCACATTGGGAAGCCTCTTCAATTTTCCCTACTTAATATCTAAGTAGAATCGACCACCACTTTTCATTGGGTCTCACTATAGCTTACACATACTCTACCCACAGCATCATTAACACTTTAATGCACTTACACATTTTCATATTTGTCTCTTACTGGCAGACACTAAGATCCTTGAAGGCAGGGATAGTTTCTTATTCATATCCCCTAGTATGAAATACAGTGCCTACCCCATGGTCATGCTCAGTAATTGCTAAATGATATGGCTATTTCAAGTAGAAATACCATTAATGTGCACATGCAGAGGTAGGAAATAATGAGTCAGCAAGTAAATTCATTTGACTAAGACATGGAAGGAAACAACACTGGAAAGGTAGGCCAAGGGCAATCAGGGTAGGTTTTTTAGTGCTGAAGCTGAGTTTGGTTTTAGCATCTACAGAAGAATTTTAGGCAGGCAATGTCTAAATCAGATCTGTGCTTCAGGATCCATAGAAGCACTTTTTAGAGCTGTAAAAGACCTAGAAGTGACCTATCTGAATTAAATCTATTGTTTTAAAAGTAAGAAAACTAAAGTCAGATAGGGTAGGTGATCTACTCAGCCACGGAACACAGAATTAGCTAGAAGCAGGCAGAAGTTTAGAGGTAGTAAACTTGATTAAGGTGACATAGTTAGTATATGGTGCAACCAACAGGCAACCCCAAGTTTGTTCAACTCCAAAGTCCACGATCTAGATGACACCAGGCAATGAGGTATGTAGACTATGTATATCCTTTTAGGGCAGTCCTAATTTCATATAAGGACTCATTTCAAAGAAAGGTAATTTGTAAAATATATAACTAAAAGCTAATTTAATTATTTTTACTTTTATTATAAGACACCCATTTAATTGAATTCTAATTAGCTTAATTACATTAAGTCATTTTAACAAAGTCTTTTACTCAATGAACTTCTGAGCTCAAGATCAAGAAAATATTGGTCATGAACAGGAAGTGAGTAGGAATAGAGCACTTATTTAGCCTCATAAAATCCACACCGATACTACAAGTGATTTTAGTCACTGTAACAGAATTAGAAAAGTTCCAGAAAAAGGAAACTAAAAAATCTATAGGTGATTAAGAGGATTTTTACAGAAGACGTATATACACACATACATATATATTACACATCAAATTTTAGGACTCTTCAGTCTTAAAAAGACAGCCTGAAAGTTTATAAAACCAGGAGAGGTAGGTAGGGATAAAGAAAACTTAAACTTATTCATCTTATCTCAAATGCTGACTCTGGGAAATACTCCTTAAAAGTCTAAAACATAATTGATTTAGAGGCAAATACAGGAACATACTATTTTACCTACATAAGAAAGTGGGGGAGAGGGAGCTTGTTTTTTTACAGTTATAATACAACAAAAACAGAGAATTTTGTAACCAAAGTACTAGTACAAACTGAAAATACACATAGGTTCACATATATGAATGAATGATCAAACCATTATCATGAATTGAGAGGATACTGTCCTGACCTTATAATCTATAACTCTCCTTAAATATCCTTGCCCCAAATGTGGTCTGGCACAACAGGGACTTACACAGTATAGGCATTTAACTAATGTTCATTAATTGACAGAGGTTTGAAGAGAGTAATTGGTAACAAAAGCTTTCACAGGCATGATATCATGAGTAAACAGTAATAATAGAACTAATAATGATAATAACAAGAGTCATAATAGTGAACAGTGAATCAGGGCTTACTATATATTGATATTGCTCTAAATGCATGTATTAGCTCCTTTATCATCACTAACCATATTTTTCAAATAATGAAACTATAGCACATACAAATTAGTAACTTGGTCAAGGACAGGAAGTTACATAGTGGCAGAGCTAGCATTTGAACCTGGAAGCCTAGACTCTTAATTACTATACTATTCTAGCCAGCCCTGGAATTGTCTGGGTATCTTTTAGATACGATACTTTTTAGGATCTCATTTCATACGTAATTTCCTTTTCTGAATATTTGAAAAAACAAATTATAGGTAAAAAATAATTCACATTTATTTCAGAACAGAAAATCTAATAATCCTATTTTATTTACACTTTATTAAAATGCACATATTTGTTTTAGATTTACCTCTAGTCTTCCTTGAGCATAACCCAGGAGGAGTAGATTGGCTCTGTCCTTTTCAGAAGAAATGGGGGCCCAAGGCCAAGCATCATCATTGACCAGTGGCCACCAGCAAACAACTCTATCATGAACATAGTTGATAGCTAGATGTCGCTCTGTTGTCTTGTTTATTGGGCCAGGTATTTCATAATAGAAAATCTAATGATTAAGAAAAAAAAAGCATACATGAAACGTTTCTTTAAAAGATGCAAAATCCTCAAGTATTACAAAAATTAAAGCATCTGGAAATGTAGTTACATGCAAATAAATATGCATGTTAAACATGTGCTTAAGAAGGTGTCAGAATTTACCAAATTCTTCTGACACATGTATAAAAAAGACATATGTTCAAAATTCTCCCCATTTTTAGCAAAGGAAGGAAGAGAAGAAATGTGAGTTAGGAAGGAATTGAATGTAGCAATTCCAATCAATACCAAAATGTACAGTCATGGTTGCTTGACAGCATCGACCTACACATGGATTTAGGACCAGCTGTATAAAATGACAAGTTCAGTACTGCTGACCAAGAGTGTCTCACTACTGTTTAAGACATAACATGTTAACAATGACTGACAACAAAAAAAGGAAAAACAACTTGAGGCAAATATCTCTTTAAAGAATATATGCGACGTATACACATATATTCTGCATAAAAGGGATAAGCCATAGCATCATGCATAAAAGTTTATGCAGCTTCTGAGAATTATGCTTCTCTTTCTTAGGCAGGATTTGTATAATTTATTATTCAAACTATGTTATTTTGGAACATGGTTATTTGAAAACATAAGCACGGCACCATCTGTGTGACACATGCCAAGGAAATATAGATTGCACCGTATTTCTGCTTAAGGAATTAATGGAAGGTTGATAGCTTGGAAGAAAAAAAAAAAAACTATCTTGCCATTGCTGGTCAGCAATAATCGAACCACTTTCTGGGGATTAAGCGCATGGCTAAGCCTACTGGACCAGACACTAGCAAAGGGCAGGGGGTCTTCTTATCAGAGAAATGCTTCTGGAGCCAGTCTCACTACATGACAGATTGCTTTCATATTCCTGTCTGCAAGGCAACAAAGGATGGCAGTAATGCGATAATGCCAGAGTGCAATGGGTGTTAAGAACCCGTTGCATTTATGTATTGTATTTAGTAAATAATCAGGCTCATCCAAATTGTGATCTCACCACTCAACCAAGGCCATTAAAACCAAGGTTAATGCTTTAATAATCCTCTGCTATTTTTTTTCAAGATGGTCAAAAGGAACCCTTTTCTATTTGCATGGCCATAATATTATTGACCTCTTCATCCTCTGAATGCACATCAAAAGGAACTGAAATCAAAGTAATTACCAGTGTTGTTCTCTCATGGTAAACATTTAACTCCTCGCAGTGTCCCTTCACTGTTAAATAAATTGAATCGGATTTTTCAGATGTAGACAGGAAAACTTGTTAAAGGTCAATAGTTTAAGGATGTTTACCCTGCAATTTTCTTTGCCAAAATTATGTCAATCTGAAAGAATTAAACTATGGTACAGCTGTAAAGAAAAGCAAAAGTGCAATACTCTATACTACTTCCTTGTTTTAAAATCCAAATGGGCAATGACAGACAACACAGATGTACTTTATGCTATTAAGTATAATTTCTTATATTTAAGCTCTCAATATCATTGTTTTAAGTCTTCTTATTTGAGAGAAATACCACAATGAAATTGCTAAGTACTTAAAAATACATATACATTATTTTGACGTCTGATTTGCCGCATAAGTATGTTACCTATGAATTTCTAGATGACGAAATTGAGTTACAATGAGTGACTGACATTTTCAGTTGTCACATAATGCAAATCATTATGTTATGAAATGTTAGGAAATTTCATGTTTCCTATGAGTTTAATATTATCAATATTCTGTCATGATGACCAAGAGGGAACGTAAAATAAACAAATTTCTTAAAATATCCTTCCAATGGACAAATAGCAGATTTGACTAAATATTAAAAATATATTTTTAAAATATTAAACCAGGAAATGAAATTAATGAGCTTTCCGAAGGGAAACAGATTACTTCTCTAATGTATAGAAATGACATGGAGTGCCAATGTTCCTATTTTCCTAAATCCAAAGGCATATTCAAATAAGCAAGTAAGTAATTTCCTTACTTAAGGTTTAAGGACCCAAATGCTAGATCTGTTTTCCACATCTTTTCACAAGAAAAGATGACATCTTTACAGTTTCTCTCTGTTCTCAGGTAGCTACTACTCTCCAGTTGAGAAGATTTTATCAAGCTATCACACCTAAGATAAAGAAACTAGTCATTCAAAATTTTATATACAGTTACTTTAAATGGTTTGAGTTAATGCACACACTGGTGCATTTTAAAGACCGATCAATTTTAGTAAGTAAACAGTATTTCAAGTAAATCTGGAGTTAGCCGTTCTAGAACTAACATCCTTTTAAGAATGCTCATACTATTTTTGTTTTGGCTAACCACATATAATAAGTAGCACTAATTTCCAGTTTTAAAAAATCTATATTAAGGTTTTACAGAAGTTTCGCAAAGCTGGCAAACAAAACTAGATGGTAGTTTATTACCACAATGAAAAACTCATTTATTTTATTCTACATTAAAAATCTTTTATTCAGAATAAATGTTTCTACTAAATAAAACTAAATCCTCCCACACTACCACCACCTCATTCATAAGTAATAATCCCAAAGGGCAAAGGGTTAGGTTAAATACTAGTTTGCCAAAACCACATACACATTTCAAGCTACAGACTAGCTTCTCAAACTCTTTGCTCTTGCTGTAGATGCTCCAGGTATGGCATAAGTGTGCATCTTTTTTAAGGAAGCTGTGTATCAGCTCTGTTCCCAGTGAACAGTGAACTGTCTCAAATCCACATCACAGAGGTTGGATCAATCTTGCAAACACAAGTCATTGCTGAAAAGAGGCCTTGAACTGAAACAGCCTGGAAAATGTATTAGATACTCATCCTAGCAGAGAATATGCCTTCCCAGCAGTTAAAATGTAATGTGGCAAAACTTAAACACATCACTTAAAATAAGAATTCTGCCTTAACAGATGTAAAGCCCCTGATACAGGAAGGAAACAAATTACCTGGAGTTAGTGAAGGGAGAGATACTAACACATGAAGGAGATTTCTTTTTGCATTTTGTCCAGTTATAGTTGGAAGGGGAGGGTTCTTCCCCCTCCTTATTTATTACACTTTTCTATTAACCTTTGAAAGTGCCTCCTTCTTTCTTTCTTTTCTTGTGAAGTGGAAACCAGAGCAGCTATCCTACCCTAGAAAGATGATATGGGGTCTTACGGGAAAATGAGAATATATATACTACCACTAGTACGAAAACCATTTTCAAAGTGTAACTTGCCTCTATTATCTGTCTTTGACGTCTATAAATACTATATAAATTGCTCCAAACATGCCATTGTTAGACATCCCCCCATAGTGAGAGTATAAAAGAAAACTTAGAATGGCCACTGTTTGCAGTTAATTAAGCTTAATCCTGTAATATTTCCAGTGTTTCTGAAATCCAGAATGTTTAAGAATAATGAGCAGAATACCAACTTATGAGATACTTTCATATACCTTAATAATTAATAATATGACTATATAAATCAAAATATCTACCTTATAATCCAAGGCTGAGAGTTTTTCCAGTCTTTTGTTTACATCAGAAGAATCCATCTTCTTGGTAAACTGAATAAAACATAGCTTGTTTTGTGCCAAAAATGATAAGATGATAAAACTGTCTGTGAGAAGAGCTAAAAACCATAATTAGATAATACCAAGTTAGAATAAAATAATGGATAGATTTTTTCCACTGAAATGTTACAAAAAGCTATTTCCAAACATACATATTAATTGAAATCACTAAAGTCTCCTGAATATCATTATAGCATTTTATAAAGATATTAAAGATATTAGGAATAAACAATAATTATCAATCTAATCATGTATGATTTTTTTTCCTGTGACTATTTCAATATACACTGATGTTTGGGGACCACCGCTGGATGAGCTGTATTTAGAACCAGGGCTATAAAGATATTTTTAAAAAACTATTTCACACCTGAATGTAGAGATGGAAACATTCCATTTTATTTGTGCTAAGACTTTAATCCTATGTTTATATGATAGAAACCATCTGAGGATAAAGTGGATTTATTAGGGGATACTGATCAGTGTTCTCAACCAGTCTCTTTATTTAAAAAATTTTCATCAATGAATCTTCTTTTAGGGGTATACAAGCTGGATGAAATAAAGCATATTATACCCAATATGTACATTACATAAATTAATATTTAATAATGAAAATTAGCAATTTCTATAGCTTTGTCATGAAGCATACAAGTAGGTAAATAACTAATATTTGTGGATTATATAAAGGGCTATTGATGTTACATAAAATTATTGATAATAACATGTAACAGGAATTTGAGAAATGCTTTGCATTGTTCCTAGCATAAAGAAATTATTAAATGTTTTATACATTTTCCTTTACTTTCACACCCCTGACCATGCAAACAGTGACCAACAGTGGATCTACACAATTACAAGAGAATCTGGAGAACTGCCAAGAAATCACATTGTTACCACGTTCCCGTGAGAGTATATTATTTTGGGTACAAATAAAAGAAATACGTGAAAAGGGATAACTCAGAGACACAAATTGTGCTGAAAAGTCTCCTTTTATTTCTCATTGAGGAGCATCAATATAACAAAATCATCACAGCCAGTATTTTATTTGCAGTACCAACGAAGGGGTCAATAATTAGACATATGGAAATGGAACCTCTTCTACAGGGAAGCTTCCTCAGCACCTTACTCCTGTAAGGAAGGGGAAATGGCATGCTTACAATCCTACCCCAGCTTATTACTATCAGTAATGTTGCTAATTATGGCCATCCTGCAGAGTTCTTTTCTTCAAGATGACGTGATTGTCTGATTTTTTCAGAGGTAGCTAGTGAGAGAACACAGCAGACGGAAGATTTCTTTATTCTCACCTCTGTCCTTTCCACTAGGACATACTTCCTTTGATTACTAAATTTAAGATACTGACCATTTTCAATCTATCATGATAATACAATGTTTCTCAACCTTTTTACCTTGAAAAAAAGAATATAATCTTTAAAAATTCAGGAGTCAGCACGGTATAGTGAAAAGAAAATGGGCTTCGCAGCCAGAACCTGTATTCAAATCTCATCTCAGTCACTTTCTAGCTATATGACTCTGGACATGTTCCTTAGTAGCTCAGCTTCAGTTTCCTTATGTGTAAAAATGGAAACAACTATACCTTATACAATTGTTTTCTTGTATTAAATAGGTAGGTTAGGAACCCAGCATACAGAGCCTTTTGGCTCAATAAATATCAGTATCCTTCCTATTCAATAACTGGCTTAATATCTTTTTCTTATGTGCTTTGTACCAATTACAGACTGATTGTGATGTCACTTAATAGGACCTGATTATCCAGTATATTAGGTATTGATCTTTATTATTTAGAAAATATAGCCCAAAATCTCTCAAGCGTTAGTATTCGTAAGATTTTAGTAACAAAGAATCTTCCTATGAGAGCCAAAGCATCAATTGTTTACTGGTGGCTGTGTTGGTATATTTGTGTTATTTATTCAAAATTCATTTGGAAATGAAATATATATTTGAAGTACCAGTTATAGAGAACTAAATTTGAAAGAATGAAAACAAAATCCTATTTTGAAAACAATGCTCACTTCTTTTAAGGAAAAAGTAAAAAACAACTCAGAACATAAGCTTAACACTTGACAAGAAGAAAAAAAAAACTTTGATATTAAATATTAGTCAAAACTTGTATTGGTCCCAGGGGGTAAGTGTGCTATTACAAGCAATTACTTGTTTTGTTTGCAAGTCCCCAGTGGTAATAATTAGTCTACCTGTTGACACACTATTTCTCCTGCCCCACTGTTAATGTAGGCAATTGATTTGCACATGGGGGTAATTACCATCACTGATGGTGTCTGAGATGAGCTTCCCCACCAGGCTTCTGTCAATCACCACTTTCTCCAGCTGCGGCCCAGAAAGGCTTAGCGACACCAGCACACCTGAACCAAAGAGGAGCTAAAACCAGGTAAGCGGGGGAGATGGGAAGGAAGACATGCTGTGATTTAGAATCTTTAAAAAACCTCTCTCCAAATGTACAACTTATACAGATATTTTACACATGCATCTACACTATGAAATTATTAAGAATTGTCTTCACTGAAAAACAATTATTGACATTGTGGTAAAAAGAGAAAGGTGGCTAAAGGATGCAACACAATAAGTGCATTGATTAAAGCTACATGAAGAAACCTAATTTAGTCCATGTTTATTAGAAATCTAATCTTCTAAATACTTAGAAAGCACATATGCTGAAATAACTGCTTTGTTCTGGATTCAGAAAATGTAATGTATTCTATTGAGATATTTTGAAAAATTACTATTATAAACTAAAACATTTCTTGAGGTTTGAATAGTCATTGCTACACATTAAATATAGAAGATATGCCACTATTACAATATAAACAGCTAATGTTATGCATTTATTTGGAAGTTAAACACTACTTCTAAAAATAAAGATCTTGTCAGTCTAAAATATTAAAATACATGTAAATCAAGGCAATTAAGTAAAATGTTAAATTTTTAAAATCATAAACAAATATATATCAGAAACAATTTCACAAGGAGAGATAAAGGAATATAGTAGAGCATTCAGGCTTTATCAGTATCAGTGTTTACAAAACCACACAACAAAAGATGACTGGATATCACCATTATAATTTTATACTGCTCCTTTCCATTTGTGGCAGCATAATTCATTCATCTCCAAATGTTTAAAACTTCTGAAAGGACTATGCATATGCGTATGCTTGTTATCTATGAGATTATGAAATATCAACATTGGAAGAAATTGTTTCACCTTCAAGGCAACAGACTCAAAGCTGATGAATCATGGAATAACATATGGTATAAGAAGAAAAAAACCAATTGTCAGTAAACTAATCACAAACATGCTAGCCAAATTCAAAGACAACTTTGATTTTAAACAAAACAGGGGAATCCCCCACCCACCTAGGCATCATGTCCCAGCTAGAGAGGATGATTCTGTGTTGAGACATATTTGGACATGTGTGAAAGATAAGCAGCATGAGGGACCAGGGTAATATAAAGACAGACCACCATTCCTCACTGCCTAACAGATTCCAGGCACATGATTCAGAAAAGAAACTGAAGAATCACTTTGCATTTCTGTTAGAACTCTTGTCCTAGTCACCAGAAAGCTAACCTTTATTTGACTTAACAGATTATTCCATTTTGCATTAATACCTCTACAGGGGCAGAGAGTTAGGAGAAGAGTACTTAATCATCTTTGTGGGTCTTGGAGACTACTAAGAGAAGGCACATTTGTTTTAAGAAATTTAAAATGCTTCACAAATTACCATCTACTGAATTACACCCAGCCCTACCACATACCTTAATGGCAAATAGTGATATTTCCCTTTTGAAGAATCCCCCCATAACAACACAGCATGTGGTCTTAACTCCCCAAATTCATTCTCAGACAGGCAATTTTGGGGACATCTTTCATATCTACTACTCCCCTTCCACCTTTATTCAAAACATCTCTAAAATCTATCCTTTTCTATTTATTTTTATCTACTAAAGCTTTACACCTATACCCTTAAGCACTTCTTTTCCTAATTACTCATTGACTACCAGCTCCTTATGTATGTTGGCTTGGCCACATTTATCTTTGTAGTGTCAGGAATACAGCAGGTACTCAACAAATGTTTGGAGAAAGAATCACAACTAACTCAATGGAACATCAGATAATTCAGAGTTACAAAAAAAAAAAAAAAAACTTGGTCTAATTTTCCATTTCCATATGACATGGATGTTCCTTCTGCAGCATCCCTTCAAGCATCTAGCCCATGCTTGAATACTGCCAGTGATCAGGAGCTCACTACTTCACAGGAAAACTGTTCTACCATGGGTCAGTTGTAATCAACTTAAAGAACCTTCATTCATTTTTTTAATTCAGCAAAAACTGAATGTTCATTATATGGCAAGCACTAAATTAAAGGGCTCAAAAAGAAATCAAATATAATTCTTAAAGTAGGTTAAATAAAGTAGGTTAACAGAAAAAGATCGAGATCAAAGCAAATAACTAATAAAGTGCCAGTTTACCAGACCTATGATAGAGATATATAGTGGGTAGACTCAGAGGACTGGGAAAGAGGTGGTGACTCTTGAGATTGAGGCTAAGGATACAACGGACTCCCTACAACTTTGACAGTCACCCCAATTATTTTTCAGTAGCACCCACCTCAAATATTCAAGGATAATAATACAGTGGTTAAGAACACAGACTCTGAAATCAGAATAAAACCAGTATTGGCTACTTGTTACTAGCTGTGTGACATTGACAGTGTAATTTAACCTCTCTGTCCCTTTATTTCCTCATCTGAAAATAAACATGATAGTATCTACTTCATAGGATGAGGATTAAATAGCTTTTTACAAAAAACATTTAGAATAATGCCTGGCACATAGTATTTGCAATTATTATTATTATTTAACCATTAACTGTAAGATGCTGTCTATAGTCTCCAAATCACTGCTCCTGCCTCCAGGCATAGATTAGTTATCTAACCAACGTATGCATGCTCTTGGCTCCATGACACTCACCCCTTTGAATCCTATATCAAATAACAAATATCCTCACTACATTGTTAACCAACTCTGTCTTTTTAAAGACATTTTGTCTTTTTAAAAACCTTGTAACCCAGGTTGGACTGAATGTTAGACGTGTGACATTCAGGTGAATTATAACTAGGAAAAAATGCAATCTTTTGTTGCCTTTCCCATTTGTTATGATTTCACAAAGATATTCTCTCCAAAATATTCGCAAGTTCCTTCAGAACTCTGGAAATTTTTCCAAGTGTCTAATTTCTTTTACCTTGTTTTCTGTTCTCACCATTGCTGTCATGAAATAACTCTCATATCCTAACAAAAACTGCTTTTTCTATGTATGAGCATTGGTTATAAAATTCTTTTTAAAACCTACTTTTATGGGATGAAGAAGGAAAGTACAGCCTGTGAGATTAAGTAAATGAGGGACCTGATGCCGGAAAAGATTCAGAGGGGTGAGTGTCATGGAGCCAAAAGCATGCATACATTGGTTAGATAACCGATCTATGCATGGAGGCAGGAGCAGTGCTTTGGAGACTATGGATCCATTGTTGAGGTTGGACATTCCTTCACAATCCTTCTCAAAGAATAGGTGCAGCCACTTTTTCATAAATTCACTCATTTACCACTATACATATACATATACATATATATATATATATATATATAGTATATCATATGAGTCAGGCACCGTTCCAAGTGCTGCTGAGAATATAGCAGTGAACAAAACAGACAATGCCCTTGCCCTCCCTGGCCTCATGGAGACTGCATTCAAGTGTGGACACAGATAATAAAACAAATAGTTTTAATATAATGTACAACAGCAATAAGAACTATAGAGCAAATTTAGGAGGGTGCTACTTGAAGATGACTAATAAAGAAATAAGCCTCTCTGAGGAAATAACATTTGAATATAGACCCAAATGAAGTAAAAGAACAAGCCACATAAATATCTAGAGAAAAGGAGTTCGAGGAAGACAGAAGAGCAAATGCAAAAACTCTGAGGTGGGAATGTTCCTAGGCTGATTGAAGAAAGCTAGGCCAGTGTGGCTGGAGGGCAGTGAGTGAAAGGGATATTCATAGAGGATGAAGACAGAGAGGCAGTCAAGGGCCAGGTTAGGTTAGACCTTGTTGATGGGAAGTCACTGAGTTTTAAGCAGCACAGAACTATAATATAATTTATGTTTTAAAGCAGGGGGTCAGGGCAAGTGAAGCAAGAAGACCATTATGAGCCTACTGCAGTGGTCAAGGTGAGAGAAGATGATGGCCTGGGACTAGAATGGTAATGCTGAAGGAAATGGTAAGTGGGCAGACTTGAGACATATTTTAAAAAGTATCTATTAGCACTTGCTGAAAAATTGAATGTGGCATATGAGAGAAAGACTCAAAGATTTTTGGCCTGAGCAACAGTTTACTGCAATTGGGAATGCTACAGGAAAAGCAAATTTAGATTATGGAGAATAAAGAGTTTGATTTTGACACGTTAAGTTTAAAGTATTTATGGACATACCAGTGGAGAGATCTAGTACATAATCAGAAATGAGTCTGAACTTCATGGGGGACTACAGATGTATATTTGGGAGTCATCAACAATACAAAGGTAGTATTTAAAGTCATGGTACTGGACATGCTCCCTTTAAAAAATGAGTGGAAAGACAGAAAGAGATCTAAGGTCTGAGCTCTGGGACATTCTAACCCAAAAAATCAGTTTAGCCCTCTTATTGAACCAAGTTTGGATACTTGAAAGATCAAGTATGTCCACCATTTCATATCTCCAAATGCCCTATGGACTAGAGGCATCCCTGACACCAGGTTTTGGAGTAAGAAGGTATAAATCAATTAATCAGCTAATTAATGCATTTTTATAAAACAGCCTATGGGGAAGCATAGAGTTGCCAAGTACTGGTGCCAAAGATACTCCTGGATATTGTAAAGGAGATAACTAGAGTTAGAAAAATATAGTCAAGGAAAGAATATTCCAGCCCAGACAGGAAAGTGTTGTTCTCACCTCTGCCTGTTTCCCCAAAGTGGTTAGTCCTTAAGACCTCCAAAATGGAAAGGATCTATGTAAGATTTGGTAGGACAAAAAGGAAAAAGAGCACCAAGACAGCGTCCTATTCCATTGCAAGGGATTGGAGGGAGGATTCTGGTAGCTCAGAAAATAAAAAAGAGCAGGCAGTAGTAAAGGGAGGCATCTCTGAGGCAGATCTGAACTGAAAAGGTCCGCAGGATGAAGCAATGAGAAGGCCAGTGGCATCTCCCAACACTGTCCCAATTTGAATGTTTAAATGTTGTGCAGGAGATAGCTGAGGCAAATAGAAACCGACACTCTTCTTTTTCTCTGACACCCCTCCAGACAAAAAGTACCTTCCTTATTATTCCTGCTC